CTCCACAGGTCCTGCCAGGAGCCTGCTCTGGTGCAGGCTTCCCACAGGGTCACAGCTTCCTTCAGGCATCCACCTGCTACAGCGTGGGGTCCTCCATAGGCTGCGGGTGGGTATCCACTTCACCATTAACCTCCATGGGCTGCAGGGGGACAGCCTGCCTCACCATGGTCTTTACCACAGGCTGCAGGGGAATCTCTGCTCTGGTGCCTGGAGCATCTCCTCCCCCTCCTTCTTCACTGACCTGGATGTCTGCAGAGTTGTTTCTCTCACGTATTCTCACTCTTCCAACTGCTATGTCACAGCATTTCACACACCACACCCCCCCTTCTTAGATACGTTATCCCAGTGGCGCTACCACCATTGCTGATGAGCTCAGCCTTGGCTGGTGGAAGGTCTGTCTTGGAGCCAGCTGGCATTGGCTCTATTTGACACGAGAGAAGCTTCTAGCAGCTTCTCACAGAAGCCACCCCTACAGGGTGCCCCCCCGCCTACCAAAACCTTGCCACACAAACCCAACACACTTGGAGATCAGGAGTCGGAAGTTGTTGGCTTTAGTGGTACATTGTACTTTCACAATGATACTTGTCTAGCGCGTCCTTTCCGCTCCTTTGTTTCATCAAAAGCTTCCCAACCTGTGCAGCACACTGTGTGTGGGCACTCATCTCTGCCAAGCCATTGGTATGTGCTGTGTCCCCTTGTTCACCAGCAGCCAGGAGGAGAAGTCGCTTGGAGACTGAGGCTGGAGACTGGCTTCTTAGTGCCATCAGTTTGTGTTCTGATGGGCTGACTTGCTTCTACCTTGGGCCCTTATGTCTGTTCGCATTTGAGGCTGTCTTGGTCTCATCTTAGAGGCAGTGTCTTCTAGGATTGAGACAGCTTCCCACAGAGCCTACCAAGTCTGGCTTCTTTTTATAAAAATGTGACAGTATTAGGCAAGAATTTTTAAATTCTTTTAAAAGTCTTTTTAAAACATGAAATGCAGCCTGGAAGATAAACCATGGCCAAGAGTTCATGCCTCTTTCTCTTCTCCATGATATGGAAGAGTATCTGCTTTGATGAAGTGTTCAGAAGAATCAGGAATCTTCCCAGGCATCTGCAGAGACACTGGATTGGGAGCATCCAGCAGCAAACACAGATACAAATCTTACAAAACCTTGGTGTGAAGGTAGATTAGCTGCTCGCTGACATTTTTACTGAATTGAATCCCTATTTGTCTATCCACTCACTGGCTTTGATTGAAGGGGGAATGTTATTAGCCTGAAACTGACTTTGAGCTGTGTAATTGAGAGTGTATTTGAATTACATAACAATTTTATCATTGCTATGACATAGCGTAGGAGGTGCGATTACGGCGCCATGTACCAATAGATCTGCTGAAAAGGCCTCCACTCCATTAGATTTATTCTGAATGTCTAATCTTAAGTGCTATTCTCCAACTTCATTGTAACTTGTTTAAGAAAAAAAAAATCAAAGAAATGCAGAGTAGGTTACTTCCACTGAAAATGGGTGTTGCTGCGTAAGCTGCAATTGAGCACAAGGCATCCTAGCTTGCTTTCAAAGACTTGGCATTTGCTTAGGTTTCGATGGTAGGATTTCATGCCGTGTCTTGTGGGGGAGGACTGCAGAATTAACCTTTCAGAAACTGCCTGTTGCCAAAGCAGGAGGTCGTTTCAGGTTCGCTACCGTGAGTTTGTGGATGAAAGTTGCCAGGCTACGATTCCCTCTTACCCACCTGCTGACTGTGCTTTGAAGGGTGATACAGCTGATCAAGCGAAGTCCCAAGAATTGTGCTTAGGAGGCTGAGAAAAGAGAGATCCACCACCTACATGGATCAGAAGGGGCCAAAATGAACGTCAGGTTGATGGGAACTGTGCTGGCATCCTGGGGAGGCAAAGAGGCTCTGGTGTTTGTGCAACTGAATTGATAAGTCCACAGTGGAGTCAGACCTTGGGTGTTCACTGTGGCTCAAGGCCTTTATCATGTTGAAGAAATGTTTTAGGGTGACCCTTGGGATTCGTATGATGATGATTTTTACCTTAGGCAGGGATCGCTCCTCTCTTCAAGGCTGTTAATCCTTGACAGGCTCAATCAATGAGCTCCCATTGATTTATGGAAAGCCCCTGCGGGTCTCCTTTGTGTTTTCCACATGGAAATAAAAAGGAAGAGATGGAAACAAATCCAGTGTTTTTTCTGTCAGCTGTCATTGGGATTACTTGTGCAAAGAGTGGTGTGAAGTTTGAGTTACAGAAAGCGTATTCACTGTTGTCCCCAACTTCCAGGTGTCCTTCCTGTAGGTACTGGTGGTACTCCCATACACTGTCTTGCCTTGGTACGGGGAAAGATGGATGTGTTGATCAGGGAAGCTGTCTGTGGGCCTCTTTACATTTTCCAAACCAAGCAAAATCCCTGCCTTGAAAAACTCCATTTTTAACACCTTCATATTGAGCGAAAAGCATGGTGACTGATGTCAAAAATTGTGAAGTCCTTTGTGACGGACCTCTCCTTGGAGAGTGTTACAGCTTGCTACTTTTCTGTTCAGATGGATATCTCTTGGGAAAAGAGTTCTCTGCAGTTAATTCTAAGCCTGGAAGTCAGGATGTGGATAAACAATGGTTCATAAGGTTGTGAACTTTGTGAAGGATTCACATAATATTTGGGGGAGGTGGAAGTTCTCTGAAGAATCCAGAGAAAGTTTGGCCAGCAAAGGAGTGGTGGGGTGGTCATGCTTTCACAGCAGAGGACAAAAGTAGGCTCAGACACAATGAAGAAACATTTTTGTGTCCTGACTAAATCGTGGTTGGTTTGGGGGACTCTGAGAAAAGCCTCTTTACATCTACTCTCTTGTATCCCCATATTGCAAGAGAGTACCTAAAAGTTGGGGGCTTGGGGAAGAGAAGAGTGTAGATTACAGCCAGATGTAGGCAGTGAGTGTACAACTGGTGGGATATGGTACCATTTCCACAGCAGGATCTGAAACCGTTCGTGAAGAAAAACACTGGAGTGGAGAAGGTTGGGAATGCTGGACTCTGGACTGAGCAAGGAGCACCAGCAGAGGACCAGGTGGGATGGTGTGGCATGTTGGTGGCTGTCAGGAGGTCAAAGCAGAGCCAGCATCGCCCTCGGGTCTCTTCATTCCAGACCTACTGACTCTGTTGAGCTGCTGCACAGATATGTTTGTGCACTGGGAGCATGGGGGAAAGAGGAGTGTGGTTGGTGCTTCCAAAGTACGAAACCAAGCCAAAACCATTGCCAGTCAAGGAATATTATCTAAGATGGAAATAACTTCTTGTGACAAATCCTGTGTTCTGGTTTCTGGAGCAGAGTGGTGTTGCTGCTCTTTTCTGCCCTTCATCATCATCAGTGGGACAATCCTTGTTTAGGGTCATCTGAACAGGGATCTAAAGGGCGCTCTGTGCCGTGGCAACACCTGATGTGGGCCCATGTGAAAAAGGCAAGTTTAAGCTTGGAAGCAACAAGCAAGAACTTGCAGATTCTTCCAGTCTGAAGCATGGAAGCTATCGGCAGCAATTTCAAGTGCTGACAGAACTGGCCAGATTTTACATGATCAGGCCAATAAAATCCTGAGATTTCTCCCATCCCCCTGGAATGGTGAAGATTCAAGCTGTTGTTAGGTGGAGATGGGCTTGTAGGTCTGTACAGCTTGAGTATAGTGTGCAGCTGAGGCACGGTAGGCCCCTGTGAAACCTCACTAGATGGAGAGGAAGAGGAAGCACTCACTAGGTACCAGTGATCTTTATTTTCAAGTTAGAGAGGGTATCTCTCCTTGTTGTTATTGCCTTCAGGATACTGTGAAGAAGCTCATATTGTGATCATGTGTGAGGATCCCTTTGGGGGCTTCCCATACCCTGCACCTCCTGCTTCCTCATCCTATCTAAGTAGGAGGTTTTCTGGCTACCTTCATAGTCACTTTTTTTTGCTTGCAGCTCCCAGTTTTAAAGGAATTAAAAATCTGTGTGTGCACATGGACCCTTGCTGTCCATGCGTCTTCCAGGGTGAAAAGCCTTTATGTTACCCAAGGATCAGTTAAGCTGTGTTACTCAGTTTGGTTCAACATATTCTGTAATGATCTCTCACATGGATCCCTTCTAACAATAGGGGGAATTTGTGCTTTGACACTGTGATCCCCACACTGCCGACATTGGCTTCATTGGCCTATTTGTTTTCTCTTGTTTAAGTCCCTGTGGCTAGAAGGGAAGGGTGGTGTGTCAAAGATGGGAGCTGGAAACAAGGTATGTGCATTGTGTGTGACCCAGAGTGGAGCCTCTGAAAGCCCAGTCCTAAGTGCACCAAGCTGGGGGAGAAACTTCCCTTGATCTCTTTGGGCTTTGAAGCAGATGTCTGAGGGTGAGATCTCCAGATAGCTCAGCCGCATGCTCAACTCTTGTTGACTTCTATACAGCAGAAGCAGATGCTGAACCTTTCTGCTGAAGTGGGGCTTTGAACTTTCTGTGCTTGATTCCCCGTGTTGTAACAGTGGAAGAATATCTAGTCTTTTGCCAGTGGGTATCAGCCAGATATCAGCTATCCCATCATCTGGGAAAGCTTGCTGGAATATTTGGGTTATTTATTAGTACGATGGTAAACAAAACTTGTGATTACATGCCTCACTGAAATTAAAAAGTAATTCAGACCCAGTCCATGTACCTGGCTAGGGATACATCAAAATGAAACGATCATTTTTACATTCACCATGCAAAAACCCAAGGTGTTACATGGCAGGTCGGTATGCTAATGGAACAAAACATGATAAAGCCTTTGTTTTGTTTCTAAATGCTGGCATATTCTTTTCCAGTACCTGCAGGGAATACCTAGCAATTGAGGTAAATTTAACTGACTTTTCTTTTTTGTTTCTTTGGAGCTTGTGCTTATTATTCTTTGCCCATTTCAGTCGTATTGGTATTATGAGGAAAATGCAGAGAAAGTGATGCCCTAGGTCCTTGAGCACAGAAGTAACTCTGTGTTGTAACATGTGTTGGCAGTGTTCATACATCCCTCCCTGCGCAAGAGACGATCAAGAGAACTCTGAGAACGTCACGTACAAGCAGAAATACTGGAAAGAGAAAGTGGGTTCACAACCATTTACATGCTATTTTAACCAGCACTTGAGGTGAGTAATCTACATTTGCATAGGCAGAAGTGCTTATGCATCTGTTTAGCAGCTGTCTATTGGTTCTGTTTGAAAATATATCTAAATGCATGCATATGTATGTACACATACACCCATACAGTGATGTGGTTTATCACACAGAGCTTAGTGCAGAACTTTACAAGACAACTCTATTGATGAAAAGCTACATAGAAAGTGGAAAAGCATTTTTCCTACTTGAAATAAAAATATAAAACTCCAAGGAAAGGTTCCCTTAAAACATGTCATTTTATGGCAAAAAGCTTCTTGGCTTTTAACACTCAGATGGCAAATTTATGGCTTGGGTATTAATGTTCCTTCCCTCCAAGGAAGAGAAATCATACTGTGTTCATGAGGGGCTGGAAGAAAAGGGGGGATCAGTGAATAGTACAAACCAACTCAGTAATTGTGTTTATAGAAGATTAGTGAATCAGATACGTGTAATAAATGTTCACAGAACTGCCAGTTTTCATACAAGGTTGCAGAGCAGAAAGTTGTAATTTAAAGCATCTCTTCTTCTGTTTCAATTTTTACTTTTATTACCAATGTTAATGTGACTTACATGTGTATAAGGGTGATCCGTGGTTTCCTTTCTTCAGTAAATGGGAAGAGGAGGGAGTCATTTTGCCTGTCTCTGATGATGATGTGCTGGGAAATAAAAGGTGATATTGTGGCAGAAACTTACTGTTACCGCAGTGTGCAGGATCTCTGGGAGGACTTGGGAGAACAGCAATGATTGGGATGGTAGGTCCATGTAGACAGGGAGGTGGAAAGAGAATACTTAAGACCTTTAGATCAGCCAAGGTTTTATGGGGGTCTGGAAGCATATGACAAATTGTTTAATTTGATCAGCATGAGTAATTTTGGTAGAGCTGCTTTGGAGACTGTTCTGGGTTGCTACGTTAAGCACTCAAATAAGTATCTGCCACATCAGGGGCTAAAGGAGGAGGTTGGTCCTACCCCACCAGCACCTGGAAGTTAAACAGATGAGGGAGACCTAGGTGGGAATAGCTTGGTGCTTCCTGATGCAATTCGGGGCTCAGTGTGGGAGTGTTGGCAGATACTTAAGTTTATTAAGACACACAGGAGGAAAATTGATGCCAGTGTATGCTAGGACCTTGGAGGAACTGGGGAGCTGGAGCAGGGTGGCAGGCAGAGAGATGCCCAACTCTCCTGTGGGTGGCCCGCTGAGTGACTTGAGTGCTTCAACTTGAGTTGTCCTCTCCCTGGAGAGACCATAGACCTCGTCATTGTGCCTAAGATGACAGTCTGTTGTCCCTGGTTAACTCTCTGCAGCGGGAAACCACCAATGCTTTGCAGCAAAAATTATTTGTTTCTTATAGCA